CACTGGGTTTTACACGAACTGGATTTTTTAGTATGAATATATCTATCTATCTATCTATCTAAGATATATCTATCTATCTATCTATCTATCTATCTATCTATCTATCTATCTATCTATCTATTTCATCTATTCAAATTTATTATATCTATATATATATATCTATCTATCTATATATATATCTATCTATCTATGTATCTAACAATGAATTGCTGAACAATGGTATCATACCACTCCTCGTGAATGCTGGACAATTTCCTCACAGATGAAGAGGAAATATGAAACAAGAGTAATGTAGTTCTGTAGAAGTGTTCTGGTAATACCATGAACAGGACATGTAAGCAACAGCGAGGTTTTGAAGAAAATTGAAACGAAAAATGACTTAGAATTAAAAAGTGAAGGGTTGAAATTTCTGGTACACATAATAAGGAAAGAACACTTAGACGTGACACGACTATGTCATACGATACGACTGACATAGCGGGTAAGCTATGAGAGAAAAGTGAGGTGGGTAGTAAAATGATATACTTTAATAAGAACGAGAAAGGATAAGAATTTTAAGAGAGCCATGAGGATAAATGTACCTAAAGTACACGGTACAGGAAGAAGGAGTGTCCCATTGGCTCCCAGGTGTAAATTCTTAAGAGGGCTTCAAAGAGCTACGTAAAGTCAAGTTTTCATTTTATTCAGTGAAATTACACATTTGAAAATTGTCCTTAAATTATTGATGTTTATCACTTCAATAAAGAGATACTTTATTTTTCATGGGTTTATTATTTCCTATATTATTTAGGAAACCTGTTTCTTCTTCTTCTTCTTCTTCTTCTTCTTCTTCTTCTTCTTCTTATTATTATTATTATTATTATTATTATTATACATTATATTATTATATATATATATATAGAGCCGGCGTATATGGGGATGTAACAGTAAAGAGATAGATCAAGTATCGACCATCATAAAGACTGAAAAATAAAATTGACAAAAGATTATTGTTTAAGGTTGACGGACACGCATGTCTTAATTAGTTTTTTTTTTTTTTTTGAATTGGTCAAACCCAAATTCAAACAAAAACATTGTTTTCAATCGTTATGACTCTACCGGTTGAATAGAATTTTATTATAAACAATTGTCTTGTAAATGGAATTTAAAAAGCATTCTGAATGTAAAAAAAAAAAAAAAAGTGTGCAAGACAATAAGAAACACTATATATAAAAAATGAAGTTTTGTAAAAATTTTATTTGAAAATCGTTTGAAAAATATATAAAATATTAAACATACATAAACACAAACACACACACACACACACACACACACACACACACACACACAAACAACCTGGGTTTTATAATAAGTATAACTCGATATAAGTTGTCCCCCTTTCATTCCCGCAATAGTGATGCCTCTTAATCGTGTTTTCAAATTGATTTCGTGCAAAAACAATTTGTTTTTCAAATTTTGGCGCTGTCAGAACCATTTTAAGGTAATTTTAATAGTCCTGTGAAGTTTTGTTGAAATCGGTTGAAAAATGTAGGAAATCCGATCCAATATATAAACGTACAGACACACACACACACACAATCTGCGTTTTATAATAATTAAGATTATAATATTTGTTATATTTTTATTATATATTATTATTATTATTATTATTATTATTATTTAGGAACCTGTTTCTTTTTATCAACATTATTATTATTATTATATATTATATTATTATGTATTATATTACTATTTATTATATTATTATTATATATTATTATTATTATTATTTAGAAACCTGATTCTTCTTATTATTATTATGACTTGAAAACTTCTATCAAAAGCAACAACTAAAAATGTTGGCAAATGGAACGAGAATAGAAAATAACAATATAATGAGGATGTTGACTTTTCACATTAATTTAGACAAAAGGCTAGCAAGGAATCTCCCGTCAATATGAGAAAGCGTTATAACAGTGTAAGCTTTGTAATCCGATAAAATTCATTCGCCTATCGCCCGGTTCACACTCGTCCCCAGTCGTTTGAACAAGAGTAGAGGTTTATCTTTTGTTTCGTTTTTAGAATGGGGTCTCCGGTTCCTTCTTAAGTCTGCTTCTGCTCTGTACTCATAACGTCAGCAGCTGAACCTCGAAATTTTATTCATTAACTATTTATTTCATTTTTCCTCTCCTCGACCGATATAAGTGGATATGTTATATATATATATGGTATATACCTCCTCCCGGTCTTTTGAACAAATAACATTAGAGTTTTATCCCTTGTTTCCTGTTTTATCCCTGGTTTCTTCTGAAGCCTACTTCAACTGTAATTCTAATGACTCTGAACTCTGAGATTTTATTTATTAATTATTTTTTCTCCTCTGTAGAACTAGATTGGTTCGCCTATAGCCCGGTTCACACTCTTCTCCTGGTTTTTGAACAGGCGTAGACGTTTATCCATTGTTTCCTGTTCAGGGTTGTTTTTTCGTTTACTTTTAAATATTTTCATTTTCTTTCCCGCCTCGTCGCCCATTGCGTCTTAGTGGCATTATCGCCTGGTTTGGGGTGAATTGATTTTTAAAAAAAGCCTATTTTTAAACGTTTTTTTAAAAAAAAGATTTTATGAAGTTTTGCCGACATTAATATTAACTTTTCAGTCAAAGAATGCCGTATGTTTCCTGTGGTTATCGAGAATTAGGAAAATTGTCACTGTTTTTTCTTTTTTTAAAATTTTTTTTTAATGTTAGTCTTTACTCCATCACAGAAGCAATAATGTCTGTAGCCTGAACTCTTAGATTTCTCTTCAACCCTTTTTACCTTTGAGTACTTAATGCCGTTATCGTTCTGTCACATCCGGTTCCGGTGACGGGAAGTATATATGTTTGACTTCGATAATCGTCATATAAAACTGATTTTTAAGATTTTACAAAAAAGTTAATAAAAGACAAAGATTAGTAAGGATTCGTGGGTGACCCAGACAGTTATTTCAAATCCCGACAACCATGCAGCCAGAAAGAATATATTTTCAAAAAGATTTACGGTTTTAGTTGAGGAGACGTTAACCGTATTTTCTTAGAGGAAATTTTTATTTTTTAATGACAAAAGATTTCTTTCAATTATATATATTATACAAACATGCATATATACATACATACATACATACACACACACACACACACACATATATATATATATATATATATATATAGATAGGCAGCATCTTTTCATTCATGCAAGTTTCATTAAATAATATAGACAAGTTTTGTCTATTTATTTTATGCAAATTTTTTCCGTAACATCTGATAAGTTTAATAACATTTTTAGGCATTTAAAACAACATGCCTGCCCGCACACACAATTCCGTAAAATACTTGTCGAAAACACAATTATACTTCGATATGAAAACAATAGACAAAACTAAAAATCCTTGAAGCATTATACATCAAACAGTTGAAACCCAACCTAAACAAAATCAATTATGGCATCTCTACAAATATTCTTAAATGTCTATAATTGGTAACAGAAGCCATTGGTTTATACCAACGGCTTTCCATACTTCATACTTCTCCAATTCACTCTCGTGTGGTCATGTGTGACGTCATGAGATGCGGTGCGATTTTCGCTTCTAGCGTCTTATATGCACGTGTTTATCGTTGTTTAGAAATCATCTATGTAAACAATGACAGACTATCATCACTGTCTTGTCCGTATATTGCTTAATATGTTGTAATTGACATCTTTGATAATGGCTTATGTAAGCCGAAAGCTTAGATTGTATTAAAAAAATATGGATCAATATTGTGAATTTCTTTCTTCGTTCAACGATAATGTTATTAAACTTATCAGACGTTACGAAAAAAATTTACATAAAATAAATAGACAACACTTGTCTATATTATTTAATGAAACGTATATATATATATATATATATATATATATATATATATATATATATATATATATATATATATATGTGAATATTATATGTCAATATACTCAAAGGTGATAGGCTGTTTCATGCTAGACGCAATCGTCAAAAATAATTGTTGGATTGAGTGTTGGAAGTAAATTTTCATTTATATAATTATACACTCTATCTCTGATATTGAGCACTTTATTCTCACAAATATAGCGCACCTTAAAACTATATATATATATATATATATAAGCATTTCGCCCCAAGCAAGGCAGGACTGCCGCTAGCACGCAAGAGGTTACAAGAGGTTACAGATAGTGAGAGCAAGAGTAAAGACGGATGTTTGAGGAAAGGATGAAGAGAAGGACGAGGATCAAGATCAGTTCATTTGAATATTTGAAGATTATAGATATCAGGGAAGCAAGTAGGAGGAAGAGAGTTACGCTGCTTGGAAGAGAGAAGAATCTATTGGAGTAGAAGAAGCGGTTGCATTTAACTATTTCGACAGTGAAAGTGTGGGACCGAGATGTGAACCTAGTAGCACGCTTAAATTCATTCAATTGGGCTACCAGTGAAAATAGCTTGTTAGAGCAGCTGCCATGAAAATATTTGTAGAAAAGACAGAGGGAAGCCACATCACGTCTGTGAGGAAGTGACTGGAGTCGAGAGGACTGATCTCATTTCATATTCGTTTTGGGATTTTTTCGAGAACCTCGAGATGACCAGCGGGGGCACCAGACCATATATGGCAACAGTATTCAATGCAAGGACGAATTATAGATTTGTAGATTTGTAGATTTGTAGGATGGAGTCAGACGAGAAAAACCTTCTGGCATAACCACACACAAAGAAAAATTACTTAGATATTCTATTGATTCAATGTTTTGTTCTACCTAAGGTCAGTGGAAAATATCAGACTTTTTTGCACATATTTACACACACACACACACACACACACACACACACACACACACACACACACAAACACATTTTAATATATATATATATATATTTATTTATTTAATTAAAGACGATGGAAAAAGTACTGCGATTAAGCTTTTTATTCAATTTTTCTTAGATTTAAGTTGGATTTAGGCTGCAAGATTCTCTTCAAACAAGTTTGTTGAAAATAAATTATTTCTATCCATTATTCATAATATTTATATAAATATTATAAATTATTTCTATCCATTTTTTTATTAACATTTTCAAATATCTGAATTAATTTTTATATATATAAATCGGAAATCTTAGCGAAATTAATTATTATTTTTTTGTTTTTTCTTCCGAGTACTTTCGAATGTT